TCTCGGCGCGTCGGGGGATGACGTTACAGAGAGATGACATTACCACTATAGAACCGTGGAAACCCGGAATCGGTGCGTGCGTCGAGATGTACGCCCTGGTCGTGGTTTGACGTTGGAATGGTAATGTCGATATCGATGAATCGTCGTTTATAATCGTCGATCGCGATGCGAGAGATATCGCGCGCGCGAGCTTAAACTCGAACTTCACGCTGATAATTCCGCGCGTGAAAATTCGAGCGAATCCTGAGCAGAGATGACGCTGGAGTAATGCCTTGGACCTTGGGATTCTCGTGGTGGATCGATACGCGAACTTCATTGCGCGTCTTACAGGAACTGCTCGTTACGAGAGACGCCACTTCTGCGAAGCCAATTGTCTCAATGTACGTAAAAGTCGGAGAGGCGCGACTTCAGCGAGGGACGAGTTGATTGTGCTGTCGTTGTAGTAGAAGTCGATTCGTTTAAATGAAGTTAAACTTAGTTGCGAAAACTTTGAAGGATATTCTAATGCCTCATAGTTTTTGCGTAAATAAAGAGTTTTATTTAAAAGTAAAGAAAAAAGCAAAGAAAAATTAAACTGAAAAGTGAAATATTGCACAATATGTGCAATATTAAGAATTTTAAAATGTTTCGATAGATAAGATTGAAATCACATATCACATATTAATTAACAAGTATATGAGTGTATATGAGTGTTATATTTTCTTATTACAAATATAAATTCTAGCCAAAACACGGTTGAAAAAAATATTGTAATATACAAAAAAATAATAATATTATCCCATGGAGTAAAATTAAATATATTATGAATCAATCACAGAATTTGATATCATTTAAATCAGAATTAATCTTCATTTGCTGCGATACACGTTAAAACAAGATGTGACTTATCGAGCTTTTGATAATTAATCTCAATCATGTGTGCAAACAAAATTATTCTTCGCAAAGAAGAAGATGACGCATACACATGAAGTCTTCGATTAAATTTCTATACTTTTTCTATAAAAAGATCTGATATATTTCATATCTCTTTGTACGATAGACCATATTAATACTCTCTATATTTTGTTATCGATTAATTCCATTTATAGAGATTCTGTCACACACATACACACACGCGCACACATACCACACACACACACACACACACACACACACACACACACACACACACACACACACACACACACACACACACACTCTAGTATACTACGTATACGTACGTACGTACGTACGTCGTACGTAGTACGTAAGTAACTTAACTTACTAACTAACGTACGTCGCTAACTATCTATACTACTACTACTACTATACGTAAGAGTAATACTATCTATAGTCTCGTTCTCGTCTACTTATACTATATGTAGTCTGTTCGTAGTTACGTCGTACGCGTACGTCTACGTACTACGTACGTACGTACGTACGTTACGTTACGTACTACTACTACTCTCTCGTTGTTTTGTACGTTAGTTTAGTACGTTAGTAGTGTAGTACTACACTATACCTCTACTCTACTACCTTACGTCCGTTCCGTACCGTTCCGGTTCGTTACGTTACGTTCGCCGCGTCGTCGTCCGCGTCGTACGACGTACCGTACGCCGTACCGGCCGGTCCCGGTACCCGGGTACCCGGTACGGGTACCGGGTAACCGGTAACCGGTAACCGTAACGGGTTAACCGTACCGGGTCCGACGACGGTACGCGACGTACGGTACTACGGTACGTACGTACTTACGTACGTACGTACGTACGTAACGTACGTACGTACGTACGTAGTACGTACGTAACGTACGTAACGTACGTAACGTAACGTACGTAAACGTAACGTTAACGTAACGTAACGTAACGTAACGTAACTAGATATATATATATATACTATACTACGTACTAGTACTAGTACGT